AAGCCAGGCCAGGAGGGTAAAGCAGGGCACAGAGGTGAACCTGGAGGGGAGCTAAAACATCTGCCTAGTCCTGTGCCGGGGGGGTTACTGGAAGGATGGTGGCATGAGAAAGTTGGGGTGCCCAGGAAGCTGTCGCTGGCCTGCTGTGTGGTTCCCTGGGTGCGGAATGGAGAAGACATCGTTTTCTTTAGCATTTAAAAACAGTCATTTATGTAAAACTTGTGTCTGTAGTGTATGTTTGGGGCCATGTGACTACTGCGTGTGTTAGCAGGTCCTCACTGCTGAGCTACACTCTTGGTGGCCTCTGGGTAAGTCGGGGTCTGTAGGGAATTGCTCTAACCCTGTTTGGTTTGTATCCCAGGATGATCCAGAAGACAGAGTAGATGGCTTTTAAAATACTGCATTTTAATTTGTGTGCTATGTATGCGTGACATGGAGCAGAAACTTGTGTTTCCTCCATGTCTCCATGGCAAGTACGCAAGGTTCCTCTGGAATTCAATGACTTGTCCTTCCTAAATTCATTGATGTGGGGAGAGAGAAACTCCTCCTCTTTTTCCCTTTGAAGCTGGTTTAAAAAAGGAAAATGGGTTCATTAAAATTAATTGTGGGTTTAGGAAAACTAATAACCCAAGCAAGTTCCTGAAAGAGGATACCTAAGGTGTCCTAGCATGAGAGCTGCTACATGTTAAGGGTGTGTTACTCAGCCTTAACCTCCCACCTTCAAGGTGCTGCCAATTCCGCCCTCTCCTAGGCCTTCCCTCTCTCCTGTAGCCTACCTTCTTCCTCAGTCCCCTTCATTGCCTTTCTCTGTTTTTTCTTCCTTTTATCCTCTTCAGCTTTCTTGCACTTTTTTCACAGATGTTTCTTAGCAAATGCACCGAGTAGCGCAGCTGAACAATGTCAAAACTCAACGAAGACAACATGTACTTCTTGATGGAGGTTTGCCAACGTATCTATCATCTGTGTATTTTGGAGACGAAACCACATGCAAACAGAGGTCAACCCTGCTCGCAGCGTTCCACATGCTAAACTGTGATGCCGAGGAAAAGAAGATCAAGCAGTGAGGCTGCCTGAATGCCTGCATGCTTCAGCATGTTGTTTGTGCCATGCTTGGGACAACGTGGGAGAGGCGGCCTTTAAACAAGGGAGTTGGTGTGTCTGGATGATACAAACAGAAAAGGAGCTGTACGTGCTGAAAATAAACACTGAAGCCTAAGTGAGTGTTTGCCACTCACAAACACTGAGTGTTTGTCCTGAAATTTTCTAACAAAAGTTTTGCCATCAATTTCATAAGCAAATGGCCATTATAGTGCAGATGATGAACAGAGAAGACAGCTTGTGCCCCATGAGATCTGGAGCCGGGTGCAACTCATCAGCGCCCAGTGCTGTGGCAACCAGTTTTGGTGATTGAGAGGTGCCACTTAATCTCTCCCTAATCAAAAAACAATTCACGGGGGAGGAGCTAGTGGGCAGCGCAGTCCTGTGGGAGTTCTGCCTTTGGGATGGGAGATTGCCCAATTTCAGCAATCACCAAACTCGTGCCCCATGAGATCTGGAGCCGGGTGCAACTCATCAGCGCCCAGTGCTGTGGCAACCAGTTTTGGTGATTGAGAGGTGCCACTTAATCTCTCCCTAATCAAAAAACAATTCACGGGGGAGGAGCTAGTGGGCAGCGCAGTCCTGTGGGAGTTCTGCCTTTGGGATGGGAGATTGCCCAATTTCAGCAATCACCAAACTCGCGCTACCGTCTCCCGGAGTATTTGACTCCTCCCGCCGCTACCATATCTTTCACGTCGTTGTCCTAAATTCCCCTGGAGTTTCAGCTGAAGTTTTACTCGGGTAATGCTTAAGCTAAGCGTGCGTGCCAAGCCGCCGGGCCCCCCTGCAGACGC